GCTAAATGTAAAAATAACACATTAATAGTCTAAAGAAAAATAGGATTGAACATTTTTATATAATTGCAACAGAGAGAAACTTTAATTTTAAGGTTTTTCTTCCCTAATATATGACCATAAACATTTCAAAATAAAGTAGCAGTTACCCTGTAATTCCTTAGAACTTTTATGCCCTTATAAACATGTATCTCTTAAACATGTAAGTAGCACACTATACTTACTCTTTTTTAAAAAAAATAAATTATTTTTCTTTATTGATTTTAGAGAGGAAGGGAGAGGGAGAGATAGAAACATCTATGAGAGACAGTATCAATTGCCGCCTCCTGCACGCCCCCCAGTGAGGATTTGGCCCACAACCTGGGCATATGCCCTGATCGGGAATAGAACCAGCGAGCTCTTGGTGCATGGGTGGATGCTCAACCACTGAGCCATACCGGCCGGGCTATACTAATTCTTCTTAAAGCTACTTTTCCATTCAATACATGTTATTTTTTTTTACCTAAGTTAATTCAAAACAACCTCGTAGTCCATTAAATGGGTATGAAATATTTTATCCAATTCCCTATTGATAACCATTTAATTTTTAGCTCTCTAAATAATGTCCCAATGAAAACCTTTGACATATCTTTGTTTTACTGTTTCCCCAGAATACTTGCTAAATATAAAATTTCTGGGTCACAGGACATGTATATCTAAAACTTCAAATTTTCACTTATGAGTTATGTTATATACATATATAAGATTTTAATGTTTGTGAAGTAAAATTGGTATATTTTTATTGCTTGAGTTTCCTATCATGTTGATTATTAAAATGGTCTCTTGTATTTGTTTCTTTTAATAGCTTTATTGAATTATGATTCACATACTACACATTTAACTTATTAAAGTGAGTGAACAGTTCAGTGATTCTGTATATTCAGGGTTGTGCAACTATTACCACTACCTAATTCCAGAACATCTGCATTACCCACAAAGAAACTTTGTACTTGCTAGCAGTCACTCCTCATTCCTCTCTCTCCCCAACCCATGGCAACCATGAATCTATTTTATATCTCTACATATCTGCCTACTCTGGACATGTCAAATTAATAGAATCATACAGTATGTGGCCTTTTTGTGTCTGACTTCTTTCACTTAGCATATTTTCAAGGTTCATCTACACTGAAGCATATATCAGTATTCCATTTCTTTTTTTGGCACAACAATCCATTTTATGTATTTATGTAAAATTCTATTTATCCATTCATTAGTTCATAAACATTTATGTTGTTTCCACTTTTTGGCTATTATGAATAATGATGCTATGAACATTTGTATACAGGTTTTTGTGTCTTGTCTTGTTTCTAACTAAATTTTTCTTTCCTTCTTTTTTTTTTTTATCCTCACCCGAGGATATTTTCCATTTTTTTTGTACAGATAGAGTGGGAGGGAGAGAGAGAGGAAAGGAGAGAGAGAGAGAAACATCGATGTGAAGGGACACATCGAGTGGCTGCCACCCGTACGACCAACCAGGGCCGGGGACAAACCGCAACCGAAGTACGTGCCCTTAGCGGGAACCGAACCCGGATCTCTCCGGACCGCAGGCCGACGCTCTAACCGCTGAGCCAAACCGGCCAGGGCTTTCCTTCTTCTTTTTTGTTTTTGTTTAAATCATCAGATAGAAGGAGGAAGAAAAAAAGAGACAAGAGAGAAACATCGATGTGATAGAACTACATTGACCGGTTGCCTCCCGTAGGACCTGACCAGGGCCGGGGACAAACTGCAACCGAGGTACGAGCCCTTGACCGGAAATCCACTCATTGGTCTGCGGGCCTTCGCTCTAACCGTTGAGCCAAACTGGCCAGGGCTCTAATTAAATTTTTAATCCATATAGAATATGTTATGATGTAGGAATCTATTTCTTTCCTTCCCAAACAGTAGCTAATCTGAGGACAGAATCCTAGATTTTCATATCCTCCCTCATGTCTTTTAAAGTTGTCTTGTACAAGCAAAACCCAGCATTAATTCATAACTGTCACTGCAAAGCATCCAACTTGGTTGGAGTAACTTTCTCTTTACAGGCATATTTCATTAGTTTATGAATATTTAATAAAATAATAAAACAATAAGTAAATTGAAATGAGTACAATTGGCCCTTAATATATAAATCCACTGCAATGAGCATAATGTGCAATTATATTAGAAAGGAACTAGCATTCAGAATACCATGGAACTTAGTATTGGCTAATGCTATAGAAGTCAGTGAAGGGAGCATCTACTATACTGACTGTCCTATATCGATCCCTATTCTCATGGTTGTACTAATCCTGATTACTCAAGTCTAGTTCTTTATTTGTTGAACCTGTCTCTTTCATTGTGTTGGCTTTCCTTGGATGTTTGGTGATAGATTCTGGGCTCTTCTCTACTTGGGTAACTTGATGGGTGGAGGAAGGTCTATGAAGGGCAATAGCTGTTATTCTGCCTTGAACTACTTTCAATGGATTGTGGATGCTAAGAATTCCAAAAACTGTTCTGAAAATGCTGCTCCTCATTCTTGCTAGGTGTGTTAAAAGTATTGGAGCAGGGTGGATGGGAAATGTCCTCTCTCCCCATCAATCTCTTGTTTTTAGAATTTCAATGCTGTATGCCAATTATATCTCATAAAACAGAAGGAAAAGAATTTTAGCTTGAGAGTAGAGATCTTCCTTGCTGATATGTGGCACAGGTAGGGAGAGATGCTTTTGTTGAGATTCCCCAACTACTTGGTCTTTTACCGTGGATCTCCCCTTTCCTCTCCACCCCCACCATCTCCAGAAATGGGACTCACTCAGTGTTGCATAATTTTCCTGCACTAATCTTCCTTCTGCCACTGGGGCTACCCTATGGACTTTCCCTCTACTTCCTATCTTTTGGGAGATTCTGTTTCTAATTCACCAAAACTGTCCTAGTTTTGAGTATGGAAATACATATGTGTTTTGTTTTGTTTTTTAAAATCCTCACCCAAGGATATTTTTCCATTTATCTTCAGACAGAGTGGGGGGGGGGGGGGTGGAGAAAACATTAATACAAGAGAGACACATTGTTCCACTGGTTGCCTCCTGCATGACCCTGAACAAGGTTGGGGACGAACCGCAACTGAGGTACATGCTTTTGACCAAAATCGAACCCCCAACTCTGGTCCGTGGGCCGACGCTCTAACCACTAAGCCAAACTGGCCAGGGCTATATATATGTATTTTCAGTATACTTGTCATGTATTATATTACAGACCACTAATGTGAATATGAATTCTGTAAAAATTCCTACTTCTTCATGTCATGCTACAGTTTTACTATATGCCATATTCAATTTAACAGTTTTTTTTTTTTAAGTGCTGTATCTATAAGTTAATTGGTATTTGTGGGTAAATGTTAACTATTTCAGGTTTATGTATCATGGTTCTGTTGAACTCATAGTAGAGAAATTTGTCTTTCTCTCTTCTACGACAGAAATAGGTTTTTCAAAGATTTGCCAGGATTCTGTACTTTGTGGTTTTTCTGCGTGTGTGTGAGGAGTATTTTTTATATATACTTAATGGTTTGGCAAACAAAGTGTTCAGAATTGTTTAAACTATCAAGAAGTGACTCTCCTAACTACTCAGAAAAAGCCATTTATAACAATTTGATTTGTCTATCCAGATATGCCTTATACAAATATATGTGGACACAGATATGTATATACTCTTCCTACATATGTGCATATGTATAATTTAACAAAACTGCAACATTATGTTTTACAACTTGCTTTTTTTACTTTATATAGACAGCTTTCAGTATCAGAATATAGATCAAATTTATTCTTTAACAGTTTCATAGAATACTATTGCCTGGATGTGCCATAATTTATATTTCCATAGACACACTTGTTTTGGTTCTGTCTTAAGTAATGTCCCTGTACAAAATTTGTACTCTTTTATATCTTGGATAAATTGCAAGAAGGGGAATAGGTCAAAAATTGATACTACTATATTGTCTTCCAAAAATGTTGATGCCAACTTACTTCATGGGGTAGATTTTAACAATTAGACTTTTAAAACATAACATAATAACTTGAAGCAATAAAGTAAATAAAGACAGATACATTTTACTATGAAAGACCTGAAAATTTCTGTTAAGCAAAAATATCATAAACAAAGTCAAGGCTTTTATCTTTTGGGAAAGAAAAAAAAAAACTCTGATAGTATTTATAAGTTAAAATGGAATTTAACATCCTTAAAAGTAGAATGATGCTACGTTCTTAGACTAGCACACTGCCTGGTACACAGGAGCTTCTTGTATATTAAATAAATAAAATATAAATAATCCAATAGAATAATAGGCAAAGGAAAATTATATACAAACAAAAAATGTCCAACAAACATAGAAAAAAAATGTTCAAACTTTAAACTCAAAAACACATACTGACTTGGGGTGGTGAACACACAATACAATATATAGATGATGAATTACAGAATTGTACCCTTGAAACCTATATAATTTTATTAACCAATGTCACCCCAATAAATTAATAAAATTCAAAAAAAATTTTAAGTGAAAAATAAAAACTGAAAATAAAAAAACACAAATTAAAATAAAAAACTCTGATGATCTGTAAGACTGGCAAAGTTTTACAAGTATAAACTGGTTCAACTTTTTAGAGGATAATTTAACAATTCTCTTAAAATGTTAAGTGTGACTATTCTTCCACCATCAATTCTACTACTACCAATTTAACTTACAGAAACAATTGCATAAGTATAAAGAAGTAGTTTCACTGCACCATTGTTTATAGAAGAAAACAACTGGAAGCAATACAAGTGTCCATCAATCAAGAATTAAATAAATTATGGGATGTCTATATAATACAGCAATAGAAAAGACTTCAAGAATGTCTAATTACTTAAAGGGAAATCCATGTGTGGAAGGGAAAAATACTCTCCTACAAAGGATAATGGACAGCAAGTATGGGCTGGAGGTTGGGGGAGAATAAAGGAAGAGTGCATACCAGAAAGGCAGATTGACAGCTGTTCATCATCCACTGGAGATGCTTTTTGACTGTTCTTCCCACCTCCCATTTGATTTTCTAGTGTGAGTCCACTGCACATCAGAGGAGCCTCCAGTGGATTTTTACAGTAAGGGTGGTCCAGTAACTTAGAACTAAGAATGTTCTGCTTCAGAGATCCATCCTCATCCATCTGGCATGAGTTCTCATTCTGAACAGTCTCTTCGGACTTAGTCCCATCTACACTACTTACAGATTGATCTGCCCCAGACACTGACAATTTTACCGTGTCATCACTGACAGTACTTGTCCGATTTTCCTGACCCAGAGTCACAGTTTCTCTTTCGGTTTCTGAGATAAACATGTTACTAGAATGATGGTCTGGTAAGGGGATGTCATGAATCAGCTCTGAAAACTCCCACTTAGGAGAGGAAGAGGGTGACTGGTCCCAGGTGTATGTGGCACTGCCATTCTGTTGGTCAGGGAATGCTTCATCTAAACCAAGCTCCTTGCCCAAGAAAGGGCTTCCTTTAGTACAGCCATCAGGCATATGAGAGTTCTTTCCCTTCACCACAGCACTGCTGTCCATATCTGGAAAGTGTGGTTGATGCCGACAAGAAGGGTCTTTAAGTTCTGGGGAAGGGAATGGGCTGCAACTGCCACCTGCACCGTTCTCCCTAAGGGTCTCTTGATGGTCCCCAGTGACCTGCACCCAGCTTTGCTGGGCTTTTTTCAGCCTGCAAAGTTTGCTTTTTGTTTTGAAGTGCTGGGATCTGAAAATCCTGTACCGAAATCTAATCATGGATAATTTCTCATACATCATAAGAGGAGAAACTTTTATTCTTCTATGTTGGTTAAGTTGGAACTTTTTTGGAGTCAGGGATCCCCTATTCCTGTGACGCTCCAGCCCTTGATAGCAGCCATAACAAAAGCGCTTCCTCTTATGGTTGCTCAACGTGACCACAACTGCACCACTCTCACCTGAACTTTGGCTGTCCCCATTGAACCTCATGGGAAAGTCAGAAGCTTGCAGCTCTGTGCTAGGTCTGTGATCAATGGCCTGACCTAAAACACTATTTGCTGGTAAGTCAGCAACTGCCTGCAAAAGACTTTTCTCTTCATGATACTCATGGTCAGAGTTCTTTGCTGGGAGCAACTTCTCTGCTTGAAGTTTCAGGAGGGTCCTTGAGGAGGAAACCAAGTGTTTAGTACTTTTTCTTTTCACTGTAGAGGACAAAGCACTAACATTTTCAGCAGTCACATTCGACTTTGTCTTAGCAAAAAGGTGTTCATCCTGGATCCACGTTTTCTGAATTTGAAAGGCCTTCTTTCTGCACTGGAAATGCCTCAACTGCCTGCTCCAAGTAATTGGCCTTCCCAACTTTGCTTTCAGAATGCAGAAGTGCTGGTGAAGGTAGAACTTTTTAAAGCCTCCAAACCCAGTATTCCATTTCTCAGAAAAGGCTAAGTGGATTCCTTTCCTCCATAGAATTTTCCTCTGTTTTTTCATTTTTCTGATGCATAATGAAATCTGGATGTAGCTGTAAAGAAGAGAAAGAAAAATTACATTTCTACCCTAAAAATTAGGTCATAAAGAGCCCTGGTCGGGAAGCTCAGTTGGTTAGAGCATCATCCAGATACACCAAGGTTGCAGGTTCGATCCCTGCCAGGACACATACAAGAATCAGCCAATGAATGCATCAATGAATGGGACAACAAATCAATGTTTCTCTTGTTCTCTCTTTCCCGTCCTTTCTTTCTCTAAAAAATAAAATGAAATTAAAATAAACTAGCTCATAAAGATATATTCACAGAAATATACATTAGAAAACTGGGAGAGAGAGGAGGGGGGTGGCAGGAAGAGGACACAAATAAATAAAACTAACAAAACAAAAAAAAAGAAAACTGAAAAAAGAGAGCACATGAAGTTCAACTTACATTATCAGACATAATGAAATCCTACCTGATCAAGGAATTCCCCACAATGAAAGTTGAGGAGGAAGGAAGTCATGAGTACTCTAACATGACCGTTTGCTATACCTGCCTATGATAAATCTCAAGAATCATTTTCCAATATGCAGTCAATTTCTGATGGAACAAACAAGGGCAGGGAGTTAGAAGAGTCAGAACAGAATTTATTTCTAAGTGTTGGCCCTGCTTCTCATTTGCTAGTGACTTTAAGAAAGTCACTCAAATTCTGTGTTCTCATTTGTTTTGTTTTTTTTTTATCCTCACCCAAGGACATTTTTTTCCGTTTTTTGCACAGATAGAGTGGGAGGGAGAGAGAGAGAGAGAGAAACATCGACGTGAAAGGGACACATCGAGTGGCTGCCACCCGCACGACCAACCAGGGCCGGGGACAAACTGCAACCGAGGTACATGCCCTTAGCGGGAACTGAACCCGGGTCTCTCCAGACCGCAGACCAACGCTCTAACCGCTGAGCCAAACTGGCCAGGGCTCGTGTTCTCATTTGTAAAATGAAGAATGGGATGGAAGAGGGAACCAGATATCATTTAAGATAGATTCCATATCAAAACAATTTGTTCCATGTAGCAAGTTTTAGAAAGCACATATTCAATAAATGTATGCCATATCAGTATCTAAAGAGGAATACCAGCCTCTTCTTTATCAGTCTATCAATGACTTTCTAAGTGACTATGCAGGGACAGGACTCTATCAGGTGCTTTCACTCAGTTATGCCTTCAAGTAAATATTTTTTAAAAAGCCAATGTAGTGTGTATGTGTGTGTGTTTGTGTGTATATGGACTTCAGGAATACACTTATGGGAAATGGTAGATAAAATTATACTAAAAACTAAAAATGATTCCCCTTAGATTTAAGATCTTACATTACTGAAGGCCCTCTAGCTAGAAAGGCACCAGCCACATGAGATGGAATAGAAGAAATACTAGGCTATGAATCAGAAAACCAATATTTTAATTTCAGCTTGCTAATAATCTACTAAGAAAAGTTGTATTACCATTCTGTGCATCAGTTTTTTCTGGAAATAAAAATGGGGGACTTAACACATTTACCTCAGTTCCTTCTCTAAATCCCATTAAGATGACAAAAATGTGTTTTTAGGCAAAACTACTCAAGGACAAAGATAATAAAAAATGAGGCGAGAACAATAAAATTTTTGAAAGGAGAAAGGAATGTTCTCTCTCTCTCCCATTTTTTTCGTGTGGGAGGCAACCAAATTTTTGGTGGCCTTGCTTCAGCAAGGCAGAAAAAAGAAAAAACAGGGTCAAGATGGCGGGTAGGTAAACGCGGTATCGCGTCCTCCCACAACCACATCCAAGTTACAACAAAACTACAGAACAACCATCATCCCAAACCGCCTGAAATCAAGCTGAATGGAAGTCCTACAACTACGGAATTAAAAAAAAAAAAAAAAAGCAGCTACATCCAGACCGGTAGGAGGGGCGGCGGCGCGAGGGGTGGCGGCAGCGGCGCGGCGGCGCAACTGGCTGGTCCCACACCCAAGTGTGGCGGATAAAAATCAGGAGGCTCCCGCGGCTGGGAAGGTCCTTCCTGAGGACTGAGGGGTCCCCGTCCCACACCAGGTGCCCCGCTCAGGGTTCCAGTGCCAGGAAGAGAATCCCCATAACTTCTGGCTGGAAAAACCAGCGGAAACTGAGGCTCAGGGAAGCTGACCTGGCTGGAGCCACAGGCAGCTCCCTAAAGGGCCCGCGCACGGACTTATCGGACTCTCTCCCTCTAAGCTCGGAGGGGAGGCAGCTCGAGGGGCACCAGAGACATACAGGGAAGAACTGAGCTGTTTGGCACTGGAGCGAGGGCTGGAGAGGGGGCTTTCTCGGGGACAAATGTGCTGTAAGAGGCCTTTGTTCCTTTGGTGAGTCCTTCCCTGGGGCGGCAGACAGTCGCCATATCTGGGACTCCAGCAACCTGGCTCACACTGGTAGCCCCGCCCTGCTGACTCCCTGAGGCCCCGCCCCGCCCCACCCAACTTTCAAGCCCACCCAAGCTGTTGCTACTTGCTTAACCATAGGATTGGCCTGTCTTGGATCCTGCTTCAGGTTTTTCCTAAATTCTTTTAAACGAGCAGCATCGGGTCTCAGCGAGCCCCATACCTCTCATTAAGTAATACACAGAAACAAACACAGGGAGGCAGCCAAAATGAGGAGACAAAGAAACAGGTCCCAAATGAAAGAACAGAACAAAACCCCAAGAAAAGAACTAAGCGAAATGGAGATAAGCAACCTAACAGATGCTGAGTTCAAAATACTGCTTATAAGGATGCTCAATGAACTCAGTGAGGGCCTCAAGAGCATAAAAAAGTATCAGTCAGAAATGATCGCTGCACAGTTAGAAACGAAGGAGGCTTTAACTGAAATAAAGAATAATTTACACAGCTTCAATAATAGAGTACATAAATCCAAGGAGCAAACCATCGATTTGGAATATAAGGAAGCAAAAAACGCCCAACCAGAACAGCAAAAAGAAAAAAGAATCCAAAAAAATGAGGATAGTGTAAGGAGCCTCTGGGACAATTTCAAGCGTGCCAACATTCGCATCTTGGGGGTGCCGGAAGGAGAAGAGAGAGAACAAGAAATCGAAAACCTGTTTGAAACAATAATGGCAGAAAACTTTCCTAACTTGGTGAAGGAAACAGACATACAAGTCCAGGAAGCACAGAGAGTCCCAAACAAGATGAACCCCAAGAGGCCCACACCAAGACACATCATCATCAAAATGCAAAAGGTTCAAGACAAAGAGAGAATCCTAAAAGCAGCAAGAGAAAAGCAGCTAGTTACCTACAAGGGAGTTCCCATTAGGCTGTCAGCTGATTTCTCAAAAGAAACTTTGCAGGCCAGAAGGGAGTGGCAAGAAATATTCAGAGTGATGAAAACCAAGAACCTACAACCAAAATTACTCTATCCTGCAAAGCTGTCATTTAGAATCGATGGACATATAAAAACTTTCCCAGACAAGAAAAAGTTAAAGGAGTTCATCACTACCAAACCGTTATTATATGAAATGATGAAGGGTCTTTTTAAAGAAAAAGATAAAATGTATGAACAAACAAAATGGCAATGAATGCATATCTATCAACAATGGAATCTACAAACAAAATGAACAGGAAGAACAGGAACATTCTCATAGATACAGAGAACATTTTGTTGGTTGCCAGTTGGGAAAGGGGTTGGGGGAATGGATGAAAAAGGTGAAGGGATTAAGAAGCACAAATTCATTGCTAGACTGACAAACCTCAAAGGGAAAGGGGTTGGGGGGTGGGAAGAAATAAACCAAAGAACTTATATGCATAACCAATGGACACGGACAATAGTTTGGGAAAAGGTGGGAGGGGGGCGGGAGGGGGGAGGAGGGGGTCAATGGGGGAAAAATGTGGAACATCTCTAATGCATTTTACATCCAACAATAAAGATGTGGGAAAAAAAAAAAAAAAAAAGAAAAAACAGAAGAAAGGAGGTGAATGAATGTTAATAGACTTAGCAGGCCAAAAGAGCAGAAACTAAGCCAGCAGTAGGGGAAGCCAAGAAACAAGCTACAAGACCTCAGAAAGGCTTAAGAATTGGAAGCAATAATACCTATGAAGGCCAAGGTATGAGAGGAGTGGGAAAAAAATTGGTTCAAAGTCTGAATAAGAAGCAGACCATAGCCCTAGCCAGTTTGGCTCAGCAGTTAGAGTGTCGGCCTGCGGTCCAGAGAGACCCAGGTTCGGTTCCTGCTAAGGGCACGTACCTTGGTTGCAGTTTGTCCCCAGCCCAGGTTGGGTCAGGGCTGTGCGGGAGGAGGCAGCCACTGGATGTGTCCCTTTCACGTGGATGTTTCTCTCTCTCTCTCACTCCCTCTATCTCTCCCCCTCCCACTCTATCTGAACAAAAAATGGAAAAATGTCCTCGGGTAAGGATAAGAAAAAAAGAAACAGACCCTAAGCAGATAACCAAAGTCTCACTTTCTGGGGAGGATGAACCAGGAAAGTTAGGCACATCATGCATAACTTAGGGCAGGGCTAGAACTGGAGGATATTAAATAAGTTTACTAGTGAATTTCCTCCCTAACATCTTTCGCCACTCACTTCCCAGAAAGGTTTACACCCCAACAGTATAAACCTTCTTCCCAGGGGAGAAAGAATCATTCAAATAGAAAAGATGAACAGATATTGGTATTTTGGGATGCCTCAACTAAACAGGCCTGAACAATTTACTCTACAGTGAACCCCAAAGTTTAAGAAGCAATGACACCCCAATTCCCTCCCCAACTCCACACAGCAGGTAATTGCCCTGCATCTGCCCAAGATTAGTTTATCCTTCAGAAAGGATACAATAATGCAGATGGGGATCCCAAGCATAATTTGAAGATGGAATTATAAACTGAATATAAGACCACCCCAATACATTCCCACTTATCTCCCAGAACCCTGGGTAGTCTGTCTTATCCATCCAAGCAGAGATTGGTTCTTCTCTAGAGAATCTGATTATTCCACAAGAAAATACATATATACAGATATCCCCCTCTCCAAAATGGTCCAGGCCACAGTGCACCCCAAAGCTGACTAGC